ACGACCAGGGAGATTAGCTACAGTGCCATGGGTTGCAAACTTCTTGATAATGTTGCGCACTGTGGACAAAGGCAAATCTAGTTCTCTGGAGATGGACTTGTAACCTTGAGATTGTTGATATTTTGCCACAATTTTGGTTCTCAGGTCCTCAGACAGTTCTCTTCTCGAGTCTCCTCTTTCTGTTGAGTCCATGCCTTAGTGTGGCACAGATCAGACACACAATGCCCAAGAAGTGAACGTCTCTCCTTTTTTATCATGCTTTCAGGTGTGATTTCTATATTGCCCACACCTGTTACTATGGTGAGTTTACAGGAGCATCACATGCTTGTAACATTCTTATTTATCCGCAGTTGTGAAAGGGTGCCAATACTTTTGTCCAGACCCATTTTTGGAGGTTTGTGTGACATTATGTCAGAATTTGCTTTCTTTCCTCCCTTTTTTTGTTTTATACCCATACACAAAGGGAATAACCATGTGTATGAGCAAAACATGTGTTAATGCAATACGTTTCGTGAGAAATACATGATTTCCCAATAAATATCAGAGTGCCAACAATTTCGGCCTATATGTATACACAATCAGACCATACCCTATGAGAGTATACCTAGTACATGATCAGACCCATACCCTATGAGAGTATACCTATACATGATCAGACCCATACCCTATGAGAGTATATGTATACACAATCAGACCATACCCAATGAGAGTATACCTATACATGATCAGACCATACCCTATGAGAGTATACGTATTACACGATCATACACCGCATACCCAATGAGAGTATACGTATACATGATCAGACCATACCCTATGAGAGTATACGTATACACGATCAGACCCATACCCTATCGAGAGTATACCTATACATGATCAGACCATACCCTATGAGAGTATACCTATACATGATCAGACCATTCCCTATGAGAGAGTATACGTATACATGATCAGACCATACCCTATCAGGAGTATACGTATACATGAACAGACCATACCCTATGAGAGTATACCTATACATGATCAGACCATACCCTATGAGAGTATACCTATACATGATCAGACCATACCCTATGAGAGTATACATGATCAGACCATACCCTATGAAAGTATACATGATACCCATACCCTATATACATGATCAGACCATAACCCTATGAGATACCTATAAGATGATCAGACCATACCCTATGAAATACGTATACATGATCAGACCATACCCTATGAGAGTATACGTATACATGATCAGACCATACCCTATGAGAGTATACGTATACATGATCAGACCATACCCTATGAGGAGTATACCTATACATGATCAGATTCCCTATGAGAGTATACCTATACATGAACAAACCATACCCAATGAGAGTATACGTAACACGATCAGACCATACCCTATGAGAGTATACCTATACATGAACAGACCATACCCTATGAGAGTATACGTATATATGATTAGACCCATACCCTATCAGAGTATACCTATACATGATCAGACCATACCCTATGAGAGTATACCTATACATGATCAGACCATTCCCTATGAGAGTATACCTATACATGATCAGACCATACCCCAATGAGAGTATACGTATACATGAACAGACCATACCCTATGAGAGTATACCTATACATGATCAGACCATACCCTATGAGAGTATACCTATACATGATCAGACCATACCCTATGAGAGTATACCTATACATGATCAGACCATACCCTATGAAAGTATACATGATCAGACCCATACCCTATGAGAGTATAGATGATCAGACCATACCCTATGAGAGTATAGATGATCAGACCATACCCTATGAAAGTATACATGATTAGACCATACCCTATGAGAGTATAGATGATCAGACCATACCCTATGAAAGTATACATGATCAGACCATACCCTATGAAAAGTATACATGATCAACCATACCCTATGAGAGTATACCTATACATGATCAGACCATTCCCTATGAGACTTTACTTCTACATGATTGTGCACAGCAATGATGTTTAGCTGCAATGTAACTGTCTACATTGAATATACAAAGGCCCAACTCCAATAACGTTGCCAGCATCTCAGCTTATTTGCCATAACCAATAAGTGACAAAAACCCTGCCGGAAGGCCACTCCTCTCTAATGTGTTTGATCTGGTAGGGCTTAATCATACAACCCCGATTTCAAAAACTTAGGATGCTGTGTAACATCTGCATAAAAACAGAATGCAACAATTTGTAACTCTCATAAATGCATATTTTATTCACAATACGACATAGAAAACATATAAAAAGTTTTGAAAATTTATGGCAGCAACACATCTCAAAAAAGTTAGGACAGGGCCACATTTACCATGGTGTAGCATCCCCTCTTTAACACCACTCTGTAAATGTCTGGGAACGGAGGAGACCAGTTGCTAGAGTTTTGAGAGAGGAATGTTGTCCCGTTCTTGCCAGATATAGGATTCTAACTGCTCAGTAGTCCTGGGTCTGTCATATTTTTTATTACAAGATGTGCCAAATATTTTGAATTGAGAGGTCTGGACAGGCCAGTTAAGTACCTAGAATCTTCTACTACCAAGGCATGCTGTTGTCATAGATGCAGTTTAACATTGTCCTGTTGAAATATGAAGGGCTTTCTTTGAAAGACATTGTCTGGATGGGAGCATAGGCTGCTCTAAAATCTGTATATATCTTTGATATATCAGCATTGATGGTGCATTTCCAGATATCCAAGCTGCCCATTCCATACGCACTAATGCACCCCTATAACATCAGAGATGCAGGCTTTTTGAACTGAGTGCTTATAACCATTCCAAAACTTGGAAGGTCCCGGTTCGCTTTAGTCTGGAGCATGTGGCGCCCATGAGTGTCAAAAAGAATGTCACATTTTGATTCCTCTGATCACGGACCAGTTTTCCACTTTGCAACAGAACATTTTAAATGAGCTTTGGCCTAGAGAAGATGGCAGCATTTAGGAGTCATGCTCAGATATAGCTTTTTCTTTGCATAATAGAGCTTTACCTTGCAAATCTGGATGGCACGACAAACTGTTCACAGAGTGATTTTTGGAAGTATTCCTGAGCCCATGCAGTGATGTCCATTACAGAATCATGCCTGTTTTTAATGCAGTGCTGTCTGAGGGCCTGAAGATCGCAGGTATCCAGTATTGCGTTTCAGCCTCGTTCTTTGTGCACAGAGATTTCTCCAGATCCTCAGAATTTTTTGATGATATTTTGAACTGCATATTTAAAATATTTGCAATTTTATGTTGAGGAACATTATTCTGAAATTGTTCGACAATTTTTAGATGCAGATTGGTGAACTTCTGACCATCTTTACTTCCGAGACACTGACTCTCTAAGATGTTCTTTTTATACCCAATCAGGTTACTGACATGTTGCCAATTAACATTATTAGTTGCAAAATGTAGATTTTACACAGTATCCCAACTTTTTTGGAATTGGGGTTGTAGGCATGTGATAGCTATGGCTAAATAAACTGAGATGCCAGTGACGTAATTGGAGTGCAACCTTTCTGTGTTAGTTTTATACATGTTGAGTGTAGACGGACTCCTGGGTTTGGCACCTGGCATCTGCAACAAGGGGTGATTTGAGAGATATCCTGGGTGGTGGTGCTCTGAGATCTTCTATTTGGGTGGTGGTGCTCTGAGATCTTCTATTTGGGTGGTGGTGCTCTGAGATCTTCTATTTGGGTGGTGGTGCTCTGAGATCTTCTACTTATTATTAGTTGTAGCTGTTAAATGCAGATGGAATTTTTTTTTCAGCCTGCTCAGCTTTAGAAAGTTCCAATACACAGTTGTGCACCTCCCCCTCATTTGTGAAGCAAATAGCAAAATTCCATATTTTAGTAAAGTAGCCCACATTAGTTGGATAATTATTCAAGTGCTGGCTATGGAATTATACATACCCCAACTCTGCAAAAAACCTGTACTGAAAGCCAGACATGTGCCAGACATTTGAAGACAGTTCTCCCTTCGTTCGGAGAACTGCTTCATAAAAGGCATTCACAGGAGAACTGTGTTCTCCGAGAATGCCGTAGAACTGAGCAGCGATCATTTACCGCTGGTTCATAAACGGACACCATAATGCGGCAAAGCCCAAGTGGTGACAGAACTAATTGATCTGAATGTTTTCTCCAGGTCATTGACTCAAGTAATGAAGCTGAGCTCTCCTCACTACAGCCAGGGAACATTTTCAGCAGAAGAGGTTATGGATCCTCCATGTTTCCTCTGTACTGGTCCCCTCTTAGTGAGCTAGAAACATGATACCAGTATGCGGTCTGTAAAGTCTAATTGGAAAAGTCCTGAAGGCACCTTTCACTGGTGAAAACACCAAGACTCAAAGTCATATTTGGCTAACCATTTTTACAATGCATCAGTTTTTGTCATGTAGCTGTATCAGTTTGAAAGATAACAAAGTCTTTGGTTACAGTCCAGATGGGACTGTTATTGTCATTAACTTTGGGGACAAGCTGCTTCCCCTTCTTTTTATGACCCGGGTCCCAGTAATACTATTACAGACAGGAGCAGATTGCAGGGAGAGCAGCCACTGACCTCAGGAAGGAGTGCGAGGTGACCCCAGAGAACATGGAATGAGGGAGATGTGAGGGCAGGAAGGAAGCCACCGGAAGCCAAAATAAACATGCAGCCATTAGAGAGAAGAGAAGAGACACAGAGGACCCATCAGCTAGAAAAGAGGGGGGGGAGAGGGTGTTGGGGCTCTGAATAGAGGAGCTGGCTGGCAGCACATTTTTACAAGGAACACGCCAAAACGCATACAGTCCTCATGATCAGAAACACAATAAAAACACATAAAATGTTCATTGTGGTAAATCACAGCGGCCAGTCAGATTCACTGAAGACATATGGATACATATTGGTTGGTTTGTTTCATTTTATCTTAAACAGTCAAAAACATTTAAGAGTGTAAAATTGTTCATTTTAAAGAAAACTGGTTTAAAGTGTTATGTCTTTTTTCAGAGCAGGGACTCGGGATGGGATCTGTACTGGGGATCACATTCGGAGCATTTGTCATTGGAGCGCTTCTCACGGCCGCCTTGTGGTACATCTACACGCACACACGTGAGTAATGAAGGCCATTTACAGTTTGGTGCTGTGTGCTGCTCACTGAAATATTCCTTGACGTGACTTCCAATATTTTTTTTTTCTTTTTAACAACCAGAATTGCTCTTTATTGATCATATGGATTGTACAATAACAAGAGCAGGTGTCAAAATAAAATAGTACACAACAGTAAGATGTAATTCCAGCATTAGGCTGAAAGATACTGTACAGACATTGTACACAAGCAGGGATAATGCAACAACAAAAAAAACAGGGTAGCTCAGCAAATCACATTGGAAAAATAGGTTGGAAGGGAGGACTCACCCAAGGTCCCAATATACAAAGCCTTCATGAGTATGAAAGGGAAATACTCATTGCCTTGACTTTCAAAGCTTTAATTCAATAGTCTTAGGTGGAACAGATTCCGCCTCTGGCTTCTTATACAGTAGGTCTTAGATACTCCAACAAACAAGATTTCCTTGCCAAATTCTTGAATATAATCCAGTCTATCTGGAAGTTTGGGGGGTTCTCTCCCTTCTTTTGGCATTTCCCACCACACATACATTGCATTAATGGGAATTTATTTTGCTTTGTTCCTGTAGGAACAAAGCGGCTATGTAGTGAAAAGGAGGCAAGTATAAACAGATGTGGGGTCATTCAGGCTAAGTTCACATTATTGTGACCTGCATTCTGAAAATTGGTAGCCCATTCATTTTAATGGACTGCCCTAACTGCAGAAACTCGGTGAAAGAAGTCCCAGACCCTTTATTTTAGATTGTGCCACATCAAGTAGCATGGTGCTTTAGCGTTACATTTATTGATGAATGGGAGTGCCTTTAAGAATTAATGGCACCCCACACATCTGCTAATGAGCCTTTGCCTGTGGGGGTTCCTGACCCTCAGTAATGTGAACCTAGCATAAAATGAACCTGTTACTTTGTCCTGCTGAGGCTCAAACAACAGGTTCACTTTAAATAACCCTAACCCCTTTATGTATAATAAACTCCCCTTGCACCATGATCCTCTGCACCAATGACATATCAAGCTGTCCTTAATGACACCAGCATCAGAGCATTCTGTTTTCCTATTACACTGTTGGATTTACTAAATGTCCAGAAGAGGCATAAAAGAGAAAGAAAAAAATAAAAGCCTCAATTAAAAAAGGAAAAAGTACAACCAAAGCTCTTTTGGCTGTACTTCTGTGGAGCACAGGAGTGTAGTTTGTTCTGCACTCCTGTGACCAGTTCCTAGCTGATAGCTGCTGTCGGCTGACATCACTCAGCCAGTCCAGGCTGGGGAAAGATCCAAACTTTATAAGTTAGGATCCACCCCAGAGTCTGGAGGAGCGGTACCTAGTTGAGAGTGGCTGTGAGAATTCAGCGGTCATGTGATTGCCAAGTTCTCACCCTTAGAGCCGGCAGGGGACAGATGCTGCATCCACCTAGGTATGTATAACTGGGGAAAAAAAAGCCCTACTTCTCTTTTAAAGCTAATTCACCTGGTTTAGAATCTTTATTTTCAAAAAGGTGATAGTGGAGTCCAATTAGATTTAAAATTTAGTGCCACATTGCTAAAATAAAGATCCTAATTCTTGTTAAAGTTTTGTGAATTGAGCCTGGAATGTATTTGCTTGGTGTCTCATCACTCCTCTGGGCCCATTCAGACCTATACGTTTCCATTGAAAGTGAATGACACCACAACACACGGGTGCATAGGTCATTGCCAAAATGCAACTGATGTTTTTTTTCAAAAGGCAACACACCTCCAACATACATGCCTTGCAGAGTACCACAACCCATGCTAAAAGCACCATCATGCATTGTGTTGCGTTAGAAAAAATGGCGCATGTCCGATTTTTGGTCCTGATAATGAACACTTTCTGCAATTGTATAATCTTAATGCCCTGCCTTATAATATCCTGCAAGTGAAGATGGAATTATGCAGACATTTTTATTAGTTTCCTAAAACTACCATTTTTTTTTTCTTTATTTAGGTTCATCAGTTAAAATGCAGCCGGTCCCAACACTAACTGGAGGCTCAGAAAGTAGCAGCACAAACCACAGTATTGACAGCACACAGAGTACCCCGTGCAGTACCAGCAGCAGAGCGTAATATGGCATTGCCCTATCACAAGGACTACAGGCTTGGGGGGAGGGACATAAGAAGGGCCCTAAAAGCCCCTACAGCAGTACAGGACTTAATGTTGAAGCCCCCTTCAGAATGAATCCATCTTGAATACCTGCTTTGCCTATTTCAGCATAGTGATATCGGTTAAAATACAAGACGAGGATTCTCAATGACAGATCACTGATGGCCACAAACCAATCTGGGTTGAAAATACAGAATGGAACCGACCCAAGTAGCATAGTCTGTTGGCAAAACTCCTGAGAATCCAAAGCAACTGGGAAGGGAAGCACTTTTTTTTGCAGAAACATAAAGCTATAAACATCTTACATATGAAATTGTCCATCCAACCTACAGTTACTTGCTTTTACACGTAGTATATCTTGATAACAGAATGTATTCTGAACATGGATTTATTCAAACCCCAGGCTTATGAAACTCCCCAGCTTTTATTCCTTTTGCCGTGATGGCTTTGCTGGTCTAAAAGTGAGAACTGTAGCAGATGCAATGAAAAATACCTCAGGAACATGGCAGGGTTTATGCATTATGGCACTAGGCTGGGGCCTGGTCATACCAAAGCTGTTCAGTGTAACACTCATCCTGGCTTGAATACTTTCAAAAATATTTTCAGATTGCATTATCATTCCATTTTATGCCAGTACCATTTTTTTATTTGTTTTGTGTTAATAATCCTGATTGCTGATCCTACTATCAGGAGCCCATGTAAACCCACCTGACTAGATATTGTCACGAACATGACTGCTGTCTGTTACAACCAAATGTTAATTTGAGCTATACTCTCAATGGGCATCTGAGGAATGCCAAAATTATAGAATCGCTATACTCTACACCAAAATGTTCACATGATCAAACACCTATAGCTGATCAGACCCTCCCCCACCAGACCATACCAATACATAATCAATCAGACCATACCAATACATGATCAGACTATACCAATACATAATTAGACCATACCAATACAGAATCAGACTATACCAATACAGAATCAGACTATACCATACCATACCCTACCGGACCACACCAATACATGATCAGACCATACCCTATCAGACCATACCAATACAGAATCAGACGATACAATACCGTACCGTACCCTACCAGACCACACCACACGAATACATGATCAGACCATATCCTACCAGACCATACCAATACATGATCAGACCATGCCCTACCAGACCATACCAATACATAATTAGACCATACCCTACCAGACCATACCAGTACATAATTAGACCATACCCTACCAGACCATACCAATACATAATCAGACTATGCCATACCCTACCCCTACCAATACATGATCACAACTTATTCTACCTGATCATACCAGTACATAAGACCATACCTCCAGTGGGGAAAATAAATATTTGATCCTCTGCAGATTTTGTAAGTTTGCCCACTTAAAAAGAAATGAAGGGTCTATATTTTTTATCATAGGTGGTGTATTTTAAATGATAGAAACAGCATATCAACCAAAAATCCAGAAAAAACACACGATACAAATGTTATATATTGAGTTGCAGTTCAGTGTGTAAAATAAGTATTTGATCCCCAAGTAAAGCATGACTTTGTGCTTGCCAACAAGGGTTTCTCCACCAAGTACTGAGGTAAGACGTTTCTTGTAGTTGGTTACCAGGTTTGCACACATCTCAGGAGGGATTTTGGTCCCTGACGTCCTTTGACAGCTCTTTGGCGTTGCCCTTGATGGGGAGGTTTGAATGGAAGAAAGCTTCTGTGGACCTGTTTTATATACATATCGAGTTATTAGGAGCATCTTCTTAAATTGACAGGACTAATTTGTGTACCACATGAGCATGGAGCCAGAATTATTGTTGGCTAGTAGAGGATCAAATACTTATTTTACTCACTGAGCTGCAACTCAGATTTATAACATTTGTATCGTGTGTTTTTTTTCTGGATTTTTGATTGATATTCTGTCTCTATCATTTAAAATACACCTATGATAAAAAATTATAGACCCTTAATTTCTTTGTAAGTGGGCAAACTTACAAAATCTGCAGGGGATCCAAGGATTATTTTCCCCACTGTACACATGATTAGACCATCAAAAATTTTCACTTTAGAATAACAAGGATTAGACATTCCCAAATCCAAAACCTGACAAGTCTACATATAGAGAAAAAACATGTTACATTTTTATTTATTTTTTACTATGTAAAAGCTTTTTTTTTTTTTTTTTTTTTTCTTGGAGGTTGGATTTTGTGTATTATCCAGTAATGTTTTTTTATGAATATAATAATTACTGGGGTAATGATGGCTGCTGACTACAGCTTGGAAGGCTTGCTCGCCTTCCTTCTGTAATGAGATCAGACGATGGTTGTATATATTTATTCATGCTTATATATTACTTGTAAGGTTGTAGAAAACAAAATGTATTTCAGTGTGTTTAGAATATATGTCTATATATGTTGGATGTTGGTACATTATATATTGATTATAATCCAATGTTGCACTTGATACATACATTCCCTATAAAGCTATGTGTGACGCCATTTTCTGTAAAGGAGATGGATTGAAGAAAGATATTGTTCTGTAATATTTACTACATGTATATGGTCTATTTAGCCTGTTTGTAAAAGTGGCCAAAATGCAAGCCTCGTTTATTGAAAAACCAGATGAAAAACACACTGTTGCAATGGCAACCAGTGTAATGCCAAATGCCAATGCAATGCTATATTGATAAAAGAAGACCAGAATTTAGTGACAATGGCTACAACTTCTCAGACTACAAAATCAGTGAATTTAATAAAACTATGATAACAAGGGAACATGCAAAATGCATTTCAGTCACATCAGCTCCTGCTTGGAGGACAATGCTCTTGGGCTTTGTGCATAAAAATGCCTCACAATTGTGTGCATTGTTTTGTGATGCCCCTCTAAATTCTTCAAGAAAGACATTTTCAAGGCCTAAATAAAATAAAAAAAAAAAAAAAAAAAAAAAAAAGGAAGGCTGACCTGTAGTGAAGTTAGACTCACCTCCACAACCTGACTGCCTTGCCCCATCACAGTAATAACTGGTGAAAGAAAGCACTGTAGCACTTATCGGTCCTGCAGACAATAGCCTGAGCCTGCATGGTGGCCAGCCACATGACCAAATTCCTAGACATTTGGTCACATGCTCATACCATTTATTATTTCAAAAGGACCGGGTGGTCAGGATAACAGGAGGTACCTTTATAATATCCCCTCTTTAAAACAAACTAATGTGCAGACAGTGTAGCAACTGCACATACAGTACTGGTGTCTTGTGAGAAACATGGAGGTTTCCACTAGTGACCTCTCATTCTTTAAATGCTGACTGCCTCATTGTCATACTGATCCCCCTAATACTTCGAGTCTCAGACTCGGGGGAGTATGCAGGTTTAGACTTCTACTCTGAATTTTGTAATCTGCACATATTCCAGGACAGAGATTCAGAAAACATTGCCTCCAGATTCATCTGACTTCAGTATTTCTAAAGCTGGTCATACATGCAAATAGAGCTTCCCACCTACCTTTGTATGCGGCCATAGCAGAGTGTTGCTGCATCCGGAGGCGCCATTTACCTGCTTCCGAACACAGCAAACTCTCTACAGATATGAACCCATGTGAGTGTAAGGAATCTAAAGTATTAGCACAAAAGCCAGTCAACAGGCATTTCTAGAATAGTCATGCATTTCCAGGCTCCATATTTCTCTTAACAAGGTTTATTAAAGGGATTCTGTGAGCATTGTAGTATTGGAGGTGCCATTATTTAAAGCTGCAGGCGGTCATCCAGTCTTCTCTACCAAACAAGTTAGTTACTGACCAACCCCAAGCATACAGAAGTGGAGCAAGGCAGACCATAGATTTTTCGATATGCTTTCCTGCAACTATGAAAAATCGCTTAACACAGTCAGTGTTGATGGGGCAATCCCTCCCGTGGAGCTATTGATCTCTCTGTGGGTGTGAGGGGGTGGGGGAGTCGTTCCTGTTGGGAGAATGCAGAGGGGGTTATTTACCAAAACTGGAGGGGGGGGCTTGGCCAGGGAGTTGTCCCTGTCGTGAGAATGCAGAAGGGGTTATTTACTAAAACTGGAGAGTGCAAAATCAGCTTAGAGGTTTTATTTCCAAAGCTTAATTGAACAAGTTGAAGATAGAAGCTGATTGGCTACCATGCACAGCTGCACCAGATTCTGAGTGCTCCAAATTTAGTAAATCTCCCCCAATGATTATTGCCACTGGCAATAATTGCTTGCTAAAAATCCGACATGCTGGTTGTACCCAAGTCGATTGATGGATTGACTTTGGGATAATTAGCCTGCCCATAGATGGATCAAATCTCAGCCGGTCCCTGCTGAACTGGCCAAGATTCTATCCATCCATGGCTGGCTTAAGACTTTAAAGTACAACAACTGGAGGCAAACCTTTTTTTAGTTCTTACACAGAGTAGAAAGGGATCAGAATACCTTTCAGGTTTTTATTGCGGTCTAGGTCCCCATTAGGGAGAATCACCCTCTCTAATAGTCCTGTTCACCATTATTATCGAAAGTGGGAAAAAAAAAAAAATGTTGGGTTGTCACCAAAATAGGATTAGAGAAAAGTTTCCAATGGGCATACATCATTCTTGTGATCCTGGTTCAACTTATGTGGCCGGGATTCCCTCACTCACACTGTTTTGGCTATGGGCCGGGAAGAAAAGGGGAATCTCCCCAATGGGACACAGATGACAATAAAAACCCTGACGGTTATAAATCTTCCTTACTTTATCAAAAAAAAAAAAAAAATGTTTCCTTTTAGTTCTACTTGCTGAAATGTGATATAAAAATGGTGTAAAGTTTCTTCTAAGCACAGCAATTGGACTGATTCATGAATACTGGTAAGGAATAATGAAGCACAAGTGAAGTCGTTTCTCAGAGCCATGAGCCTTTGTGGAGGTTGAAGCTTGGTTTGGCCGTATCACATGGTGCTTCTCTGTCTTT